AACAAAAAAACATCCGTAAAAAAACAGAAACAGAAACATCATAACGAAATCCTCCAAAAAGGCTTCCGCAAAAAATGACAGCAACAGGAAACAACAGCAACGAAGCTCCACCCACCCGATGCTCCAGATACTTGAGCTTGATCTTCCTGACGGCGGCGCGGGGGGCGATCGTCTTCAGGCGGAGCTCCATGTACTCCAGCTGCTGCGGCGGAATCACGCTGGCGTCCGGAGAGTTTTTGAGGGACTCGAACTTGGTCACGATGGACGGCAGCTCGGCGAAGAAGGCCTTGTGCTCCTCGATCTTCTTGCTGAGGAGGTTGGCGATCTGGGGGGCGGGGAGGAGAGGGGGAGGAAGAGGTGGGCGTTATTAGATGAGGAGGAATTGGTGGGTGATTTTATATACATATATCTTTTTTCTTTTCTTTTCTTTTCTTTTTTTTTATCTATATATCTACTATCATATCTGGGAGTGTTGTAGTAGTTTTTTTTTATTTCATCTAATTTCGTGAGAAATTATTGCTTTTTAATTTCATACAGCGAAAAACGAAAGAAAAGTAGAAGAAATACATAGGTGTTTATTTATTTATTTATTATTATTATTATTTCTATTTGTGGGCTATGGAGTGTTGTGGTGTTTCTTTTTTTCGTCTTTTTGTTTTCAAAATACGATGAAAAAATCTATTATAATTGTTCATACGATGAGGGGCGAGGCAATGTATTTATTGGGTGAACTAGAAGGACTCTCTTGCCTTTCCTATCGCACGTTCGTTCTCTTTGCCTCTCTTCTGCTATCTACCATACCCCTCCTCTCTCTGTCTTTCTTTACTTCCCTCTTGTCTCCCCATTTTTTTAACTTTCTCTCCCTCCACCCCTCCTTTACCTCCTCAATATCCTCACCCTTTCACCCTCACTCTCAAACCTTCCCTCTCACCCTCACCCTCCCTCCTGCACCCTCTCACCCTCACCTTCACCCTCAAACCTTCCCTCTCACCCTCTCACCCTCAGCCTCCCACCCTCAGGCCCTCACCCTCAAGCCTTGACACCCTCCCTCTCACCCTCACCCTCCCTCCTGCACCCTCTCACCCTCACCTTCACCCTCAAACCTTCCCTCTCACCCTCTCACCCTCACCCTCTCACCCTCAAACCTTCCCTCCTGCACCCTCTCACCCTCACCCTCGCCCTCAAACCTTCCCTCTCACCCTCTCACCCTCAAGCCCTGACACCCTTCCTCACCTCATCATGCTTTCCGTGCAGCTTGTCCTCCGTCCCCAGCATGGCCTCGGCGCGGCTGAGCCACTCGCCGATGGGTCCGAGGGCGCCCGGGAGAGAGGCGTCCAGGAGCCACGTCCAGTGAGACAGCTGCTGCGACACCTGCGGGAAGGAAGGAAGGTGAGTGAGAGAGAGAAGGAGAGAAAAGGGGTGGAGAGGTGGGGGGTGGGGGTGTATGTGATGGGAGAAAAAAAAGAGGAATTGGTGGGAAGGAAGGAAGGAAGGAAGGAAGGAAGGAAGGAAGGAAGGAGGTAAGTGAGAGATAGAAGGAGGGAAATGGAGGGTGGGGGGTGGGGGTGTATGTGATGGGAGAAAGAGAGGAAAAGAAAAAAGAGAAGAATTGGTGGGAAGGAAGGAAGGAAGGAAGGAAAGAGGGAAGGTGGGCGGGGGGGATGGGATGGGAGAAAGAGAGGAAAAGAAAAAAAAAATTGTGGGAAGGAAGGAAGGAAGGAAGGAAGGAGGGAGGGAAGGAGGAAGGTATGTGATTTGAGAAAGAGAGAAACAAAATAAAAAGGCGACACTTACGGAAAAGAAGGAAGGAAGGAAAGGAGTGAGATAAAGACATGAAGGGGGAGGTACGTGATGGAAGAAGGAAGGAAGAAGAAAAGAATAGGAAAAAGGAAGAAAGGGGGGCATGGCAAAGGTGTGGTAGGAAGTAAGTAAAAAACATATAAGAGAGAATAAATGATGGAAGAAAACAGAAAGAAGAAAAAGGGGGTGCATGATGAAGAGTGGAATGCGTCATAAGAAGAAAAAAGAGAAGATTAAAAATGGAAAAGTTGGGAAACAAAGAAAAGGAGATGTCATAAAGAACAGAGGATATGGTAGCAGGTCGAGAAAGGAGGAAGAGAGCGGAGATGAGCGAAAAGAGAGAAGATAACAAGAAATATAACAGAAAAGACTAAATAGGAAGCGAAAAGAGGGAAGATAACATGAAAGATATAACAGAAACTAGGAAAGAAGAGGCGAAAAGAAGGAAAATAACACGGGAGACATGACTGAAAGGGGGGGAAAGTGAAACGAAAAATTCAAATATGATGAAAAAGGAAGGGACGGGGGTGCGAAGAAACGAGGAAGGAGGCTACACGGAAATAAAAAGATTTAAAAAAATGCTGTAGGTGTTTAATTATTTTACTTAAGTGTCTGATGCTTAAATCTGTATAACTTTAACCAATATTCGACAGGAAATGATAATTCATATCACTGAAGCATATTTAAAGAAAATTCATTT